CAGGCTTGCGGCGCTCAGGCTGTGGGCTATAAAATTGCAGTGTAGATGTTCAGGCTTAGGCTGTAGCCCAGGCTTTGTGACTCTGCAAGTGGGGGAGGGTCCCAGGGTCCAGCCTGGACCCAAAACACCTACCCCACAATTTTACAGCCCCACAGCCCGAGCCCTGTGAGCCTGAGTCAGCTGATATAGGCCAACCACAGGTGTTTAATTGCAGTGTAGGCATACCCACCCAGATAAAGAAATGTTTCTATTTACTAAGGTACATGGCACTTGTGGATGGTTTCCTACTTTTTAAGTAGGACTAACTAAAACGTGCACGTTCACTGCAATCTCCACTGAAGGAACAAACAGACAGTATGCTCCGATCGACCACGGATGATAGGAAGGACCTGAAGGATGAGCAGGACGGCTCCATCCCTTTATAGCCTCGGCTCGCAGCAAAGGAACATCAGTGAGCAGACATGGCCACCGCTAGAGAAAACTCTGGCACCATTGCATGAGATGCACACATCCATTGTGTAATGGATATATGCCATCACTCTAATAACTTTGCATACAGAGCATGTGATTGTTCAGTCAAGAATTGGTCAAATAAAAAAAATGTCACTGGAACACTTAAAAGCATTTCTCTTCAGTGAGGGTTATATTCATGCCACTGTACAGAGATGTAAGGCTGAACTACACTTACATATCCAGCTAACTCAGCCACAGAGGAAAAGTTTTTAAGACCAGAAAGAATGAACAGAGGGATATGTTTTCAGGTAGGATGAGGACAAATCCCATGGGTACACTTTGGCCAAAATTTTCGAACCTGAATGTTTAAAGGTAAGCAATTCAGTCCATAGCTAGGCAAGGCCACAAGTGCTGAGCACCCATAATTCATTAACTCTGTGCCATCCACTCCCAGCCTCCTCTCCTCATAGGAGACTTGTCAGGAATGTGTCGAGGAGGCCCTCTGGCAATCTCCAGCCAGCAGAGCAGCCCCCCTGGGGCCACTGCATCCAAAGCGTGTAACAGCAGTCCTGAGGCTGCTCTTATTGATGCCAAAGGAGGACAGAGGTGGCTTTAATCCATATTTGCTTTCCCACATGGGGTCCTGAGCTTGAAGATCTGACTATATATGTCATTTCCATTTCTCCTTCTGAAGACTTGTTACAGATGGAAACCTAAAACCATACTGAAAGACTTGTGAATATTCTTTTAGAATGAGTGCAATTTATGCATCATGCCATTCAATTAAAATGCAAGCAAGAAACCAAGTATGTAGGAGTTACTTCAAAATGAACCCTAGTATCTGCCACTGAAAATCCTAGTTTAAAAGCTGATGAAGTGGCTAGTGTTAAAGCTATATATCATAAGAAAAAATTAGTTGTTTAGATGAAACTACATTTCTCACCTCAATTCCGAGGGTTTGTTTTCCATACCAGGTCCTCCACACATGCACATACAAACTTGCCACTTGTGTACACAAATGACAGAAGCATCAGCATATATAATCCACGTATTTAATATCTAACAGTTTTATTTCTTGTCTTCTGTAAATTGCCAATTACTTATATTATTGTTAAAACTCTCAAAGGAAACAGATCTCACAGGAAGCACCAATATGATTTCCTATCTACAGCAACAGGTATGGAAAAAGACTGTGGTTTTGACTCTAGATCAGTTCCTCAGAAGGGCCTGTGGCTACTATTACAGATAGCAGAAAGTTAAATGACATAAGTCTACAAGGAAACTTCACAATAACAACATTTTCTATTTTTGCTTTCCTTCTTCATTTTTTATCAGTAAGAGACTGTTGTTTTTTAAAGGTGATCTACCAAGTATGTGTGTGTGTATACGGGCAAGTATCCTTTTTGTAATTATTTCTTTTAATTTATGAAGAGGAACCCATCTGCTACTCGGGGCACCTTTCACAAACAAACAACGCATTAGGGTTTTTTGCTTTCTTTTAAATAAATATGTTCTGTCTGAGACACACGAGGAGTGTCAATTCTTCTCTGTCCTTGGAGGTCTCCTCGGAGGACAGATGCAGATTGTAAACTTTTCTTATCCCTTAACTGAAGGGATCGGGTGTTGGATGTTTAATATATTACCTCCCAAGTGTTTCAGATATTTGAATTAAACAGATGTTACACATAGCCTACTATTTTTCTTGATTGCAAAGTAATTTTTTTTCTTTAGAGATAAACTGAGGGTTTGTCCACACATAGACTTGTTCCTGATTAATCAGGAACAACTCCATGTGGAGACAACCCATAAGTTTAAAGGCTGCCAGAAATACCACTTCAAATGAAGTTCAACTGTACACCCTAAATACCTATCTAATACTGTACAGCCTTCTATTTTTCTCCAATTTCTCTCTACACAACTCTATGTAGAACCCTTCTCTAGATTATTCTGAATCACAACACAAAATTAGATATTTTGTTTTCCTACCACATGTTCAGACAAATACAAATTATTTTGTCCTTTTCTTGGATCTCATTAGAATATAATTTGCCTTGTGCAAATTGAGAGATTATGTGAAAGATGGGAAACTGCTGTCATTCATTAGACTAGTAAACCTGCAACAGTCAAAAATGGTTTACAAAGCATCTTCAATTGCACTGATTCAGGCTATTTAACAACACAAATTAATATCAAGATAGTTAACCAAGATTACTAAACAGCATTCTTGGCACACACATTATTGTATTTCCAGAGCAGATTTACAGTTACTCCATAAGCTAAAAAAATTATGCATCTACATCAGCACATTTTAGTTCCTGTACATGACAAGCTAATCTACAATCTAAGATTTCATTTCATGGAAATTAAAATGAAATAAAGCAAAATAAATACAAACAGAAGTATATTTCAAAGCTTATTTAAAGGATTATCTAAGATTTAGGAGAACAAGAACATTCTAAAATTAGTTTAAAAGTAATGTAAACTGTAGGGAAAAAGTTTCATTTTGAGAGAGCTCACTTGGAGCGGTCTTCATTGCTCTTTCCATTAGCAGGGTCTTTTTTTTTTTTTTTAATTGAAAACAAAGTCTTATTCTGCATTTCTAAAGAGCTGTGGTGAGCTATTTTTCACTCCACTGGGTTTCCCAGTTGCTCTTTGTGACATCAGTCTGTCACTAGAGTTATTCTACCATTGAAAATATACTGCATTCTGACTTAGAGGAAGGACTGCTAATAGCGACTTTAAAATATCTTACATATTTACATTGTTTCTGAAACTGACTGCTGTAAATTATGCAAACTGCTGTGAAACAAATTAGCTTCTCTGTACATAGCAGTAATGAAAGCCAAAGAAGGGACATGCAGACAAGTTAAACCTACAGTATAAAAGAACCCCTCAACTTTCTACCCCTGATGAAGTAGCCTATCAGAAGACAGAGATCTTGCCATGGACCCCAAACCCCACTTTTATATAATATATATATATATATATATAAAAATATGAGTTTTTTTATTAGATTGGAAGTGAATGCCAGAGCCAAGCACCTCACCACCAACCTTGCGATGCTTAACTCTAGGGACTGTGACTCCAATCTTCACAGTGGTACAGGAGGAAAACAATGGTTTCTGAGGCCATTACACAAAACTAATCCATCCTGACATTGTATTTATGGAACACGACTATTCCCCAGGAAAATAATGCCAGAAAATATGGGCACATTCCAGCAGTAGGAAATCAGGAGACCAACTACTTCAGTTTTGGTTTCATTCAGAGAATTATTTTTTTAAAATATGTACATACACGTGCACACATGCAGTCAGCATCAGCTCAGGAGACCGAGGACTTCTCTACACTACAGTGTTAGCTAGAAATATAACTTGAGTGCTGCCCCTAATCAGATTCCCACTCATGCACAAAAATCTCCAGCTCAAGCGCTGCCTGGCCCATCAGAGAGTATATGAATTGTTAATCATGCCTATTATGGTAGTGCCAACCAACCGTGAACGGGGCCCCATTGTTGTAGACACTGTACAAAATACAGAGTAGTACATGGCTCCTTTCCCCGAGAGCTTACAAAAAAGCTTGAGTCCTGCTAATGATGCAGCTACTCTGTGCTGCTCATACTACCACTTGGTGCTGCTCAGATGTTGTTTTGCAGTGTTACCATGCTCATTTGAACTAAGGAAACTCGAGAGTAGTTAACTGAAGTGTAGATAACTCAGGCTAACATTGCAGTGAAGACAAACCTTGAAGCAAAAACATTCTTGTGACAAGAGAAGTAAAGATATGAAACGTGTGTGTTTATGAAGCCATGTCTGAGATAAATGGGCTGTGGAAATTTCCTCCTGTAGGTGCTGGCAGCCACTACAGAAATGAGCCAGTTCAATTTTGAGTTAATTAAATACTTACTCTATGTGGAACACTGGATGCAGTCAAATTGGATGGGTCATTAACAGCAAACAGGCAAATACTTACTTGTCTTTTATAAAAAGTGAGGGATGGGGAGAAAATGAAGTTAACCGTCCTTTCTGGTTTGACAGACAACTTTTTAACTGTGCACTCTCACATCCGTGACCATCCTATTACAGCCCCAAAGCACCTTTATACCCTCATACAGTATCTTTTCTACATTTCTAGTATGAGCCATGTTCCTATATAAAGTACCCTTGATACTATCCCATACCCTCCATATCGTGGTACTCCACAACATGTGCAACCATTATCCACCCACATCAGAACACACTCTCCTCCAGATTGATCTCCCTTTGTATCATTATCCCATCTCTTATCCTTCATATATTGGCTAAGAACGATTACTCTCATATCTTACCTTCTCACTAATGAGATCTTACCCTCCATGTACATTCTATAAACACCCACCCTTCCAACCACTATTTCACTGTGAAACACAATACATCCCATCGCCTGAACATTTCGAAGTCTAAAACATTTTGAAGTGACATTTTTCTAGAGGTCATTAAAAAAAAAATTCTAATGTTTTTCCATGCCTTTACTTGGCCCATTTGCTGCTTCAAGGGAAATGTACTTACTGCTCTTTTTCTGGAACACCCTGTAATCCAAGGCACAGTAAGGTTTCCTGAAATCTGTGGAAGCAAAAAAAAACAATTATCAATAATGCACATGCTCAGACTGCTGGTATGGCAAATAATACTATGCATACAGCTTTTGCATGACTTGTGCAAAATAATCCAGCTTCAAGAGTGTGTATTCATTGTGATAAGCGTCTATCCAGATCTAAATATGCTTCCTTCCTGCTTAAGAAAAATGCTTGCAAGATTTTCATAGGCAGGGGCGGCTCTATGTTTTTTGCCTCCCCAAGCACGGCTGTCAGGCGGCTTTCGGCAGCGCGCCTGTGGGCGGTCCGCTGGTCACACAGATTTGGCAGCATGCCTGCGGGAGGTCCGCCGGTGCCGTGCTTTCAGCATCCCCACCGCTGAATTGTCGCTGAAGCCGCAGGACCAGCGGACCTCCCGCAGGCATGCCGCCGAACGCAAACAGACTGCCGCCCTCACAGCGACCGGCAGGCCGCCCCCCGCGGTTTGCCGCCCCAGGCACGCGCTTGCTGCGCTGGTGCCTGGAGCCGCCCCTGTTCATAGGGGGCCAAATTCTGTTTGTGTTATTGATGTGAGTAGCCTGATTACTGTGGGACTTCTCTGACGAGCTAGGTGAGCAGAGTTGCTCTTACTGACCTAAAGTTTCAGGACTGACTTTGTACTATATTATAGTAACACCAGTCCTTAAACAATTTTTTTTTTAAATGTTGTGGAAATCAAAACATTTACAGAGCCCTTACTGAAAGAGTATCAAATTTATTCTGTAGCACTGGCCAAAATACATTTTTTTATTATAGTCTGTAGAACAGAACTACTAAATTAGGATAATATCCTAAATCAACAGCCAGCCAATCTCCCATTAATAAACACGACCACAATACTGAGTGCTGCTGACTACCTACTACTATCATTGAGTTACAAAGGTTTAGCACCTCTTTGGATCAGGCCCAGTGGGAGATTTGCACAAAGACTACGGGTAGAATATGGTCCTTAGTAATAACTATTGTTTTAGAGCCAATTTGTTTAGTCAGTTGTACGGAGGCAACTTTCATTTATTGTAGTGGAAGATGTACCAGTGTAACTGAAAGCAGAATTTGGCCTTTAATAAAGCTACTGTTGCACTCAGCAGGAAAAAAGGATACAAAGCACTTCTAAAATCAGTGTCACTTCTGCCCTTTGTATATACGACTAGTGGCACGTACCATTACCCAATTTCAATGCACAATTACAGTAACTGCAAGTTGGGCAAAATTGTACACCCAAATTATTTTAAATTTTCTTGTTTTTAAAGTGTCATGGTTAGGTTTCAGAAGTAACACCTCAACAAGATGAAAGTAAAAGTCAAAATTTGGAAAATAGTTGCTTCAAGCTAGACAAAGTTACACTGACACATTCAGATGGTTGTATCTTCGCAACCATGAGGCCTAGAAATTTGAAATGAAAACCTGAATTCTACATCATTTGAGTTTGTCCTAGGCCCATCAAGCAGGCTGGATCTGGCTCATGGGCCAAGTGCATGAAACCACTCACTGCCAAAACATACCTTCCAATTGTATCTGTTTATGGTACTGCTTTTCATGTAATGTGCCAGAGACATTAATAAATAAACCAGATTCAAAACAGCTGGTTTTCAGCATCAAATTTTTCTAATAGCGGAATTTGCATTTTAGAGTAATAAGTGATCATTTTCAGGGGATCTCTCTTCTTGATCACCACAGATTCCCACCCTTCCAAAGAGCCATTTGCTTACATAAACCTGAAGTGTACTTCTTTCTCTCTCTGACTCAAACATGCAGGGTATGAAATAACATTCTAGGCTGGTTTTGGATTCTGGTACAAACATTTTGTATTTACAACAGAAACTGAAGAGACTCTCAAACAGTTTAATAAAAGGAAGAAAAGAAAGCCATCATAGATTTAACTCACCTATTTCAAAATATGGTTAATATAATACTTCCCTCTTTGAATTATATTCATCATTAAAAACATTTACTAATTTCTGAACAAATGCATATCCAAAACTATAATTATATCTTCCACAGCTAAAAGTTTGTCCTTTATACTTGCCAAGACACTTTTGTACAGAAAATACCCTTTAAGAGTTTCCAAACTTCCTGTTCAGCGAGCCATCTTCTAGCTCAGTGGTTCCCAAACTTCAACAACCTGTGAACCCCTTTCACTAAAATGTCAAGTCTCACGGATCCCCTCCTAAAAATGAATATTTCCAGGGATTTTCTCCTTTACCTGAGTATAAATTATAAAAGCAGTGATCTTGGAAGTATAAAATTTGTTTTTATGACATGCTTATTACACACTATTATTTATCATTACAGTATTTTTATTACATTATGAAAATGGCAACACTCTTCCAAGATCTCACTTTCGTAGCTTGTATCACTTTGAATAAGCCTGTTATAAGACAAGGCTCCTATGCTTCATCAAGGAGTATCAGATGTGTGACAGTGAAGGTATTCAAGAAGCCAACTCAAAGAGTTCTTCCTACACAAGCATTCAGGTCTTGAGCAGTCCAGGCAAACAACGCAAGTTACAACAAAGCTTAAACTTGTTCTTCATAATAATTTAAAAAAACCAATACTAGCTGCCTATTTACTTTTAAAAACAGCAAAAAATATCCACCTCCCTTTCCATTTCTTATAAGGAGTTTTGAAGTTTAAATCTCCGCAGTGTGATAGATGTGCTTGCTTTGATCTGCTTAGCTCTTGGAAGTCCAGGGGCTCCAGGCTGCTGGCCCCATGCTGCCCAGGGGCCCTAGGGACAGCTCTGTCCGCCATTAGGGGAATTTTTTCCCGGGAACCCCCTGTAACATTTTGCGAACCCCCAGTGGTCCACGAACCCCAGTTTGGGAAACACTGTTCTAGCTCGATCAGGATGCCCTCTCACGTTGGACCACAAAGGGATAGGGATGCCAACTTTGTAATATTTAAAAAATGGACACTCCTGCAGGAGTGCTGGAACCGCCCTGCCACCTCTTCCCCATAAGGTCCCACCCCTGTCCCGTCTCCTCCCCCAAGGCCTTGCCCCCATTCACGCTCTTCCCTCCGCAAAGGGACTCACCTGCAGAGCCAGGGCTGGGACCTGCAGCTGCCCAACACAGGTAGTAGGCAGCCCTGGCTGAGTAGGGGCTGGTGCAGGTGATGACCCAATGCCTTCCCATCTGCAGTAACCGGACTTTGGGTGTCTGGTCAGTAGATCTGACTGGACACTGAGGAGGTCCGCTTTTCAACCGGACTTTCCAGTCAAAACCCGGACACCTAGCCACCCAAGGCACTGGTTCTCAAACTTTTGTACTGGTGACCCCTTTCACATAGCAAGCCTCTCAATGCGACCCCCCCCCCTTATAAATTAAAAACACTTTTTATATATTTAACACCATTATAAATGCTGGCGGCAAAGTGGGGCTTGGGCTGGAGGCTGACAGCTCACGACCCCCCCGTAATAACCTTGTGACCCCCTGAGAGGTCCTGACCCCCAGTTTGAGAACCCCTGCTATAGGGGGAGGGAAACAGGAAAGTCAACATCACCAGTGTTTTTGTCAAAATACCATTCTGTGGAAACTGTTCATAGTTTCATAGATTCTAAGGCCAGAAGGGGTCATTGTAAACATCTAGTCTAACCTCCTGTATAGCACAGGCCATAGAACTTCCCCAAAATAATTCCCAGAGTGTATCTCTTAAAAAAATAAATCTTGATTTAAAAACTGTCAGTGATGGAGAATCTACCGCAATCCTTGGTAAATTGTATCAAATGATTACTTGCTCTCACCATTATGAAAGGTAAAGGCAATGTTTGTATTTACATAGTATCTGCAGTTTGTTAGGCAGAGTTTTCAATTACAAAACAAGAAAAAAAATCAAGAATTTAAAGATACTATGTATATTTTTAACATTTGTCCACCAATTCATTTTAACATAGTTTTAAGAAGCTAAACCAAACTGTTACACTGCTTATGTGACTCACATTAATTTTTAGGGGCTGGACTGCAAGAAGAACAATACTCAAGAAGAACAGTATCTAGCTCCTTGAGCAATCACACTGGATTTAAATGGGACTACTCAATTTGAGTAAGAGTATCAGAACCTGGCCCTACATTAATACAGTAATTCAAATACACAAACACATAAAAGCTGATATTTACAAAGAACTGTCTTAATTGACATAAATCACGTTAGACAAGAAAAGGCCCCACATCACACTTAAAAAAAAAAAAGGGTAAAACAAGCACCAGTCTCTACTACAGGTGGTGTTAGCAATTTCTACGTCTGTTAGTCAACTATTAATTTCAGATAAATCTAGAATTTCTATCTTGACATTTTCATGTGTTCAACAACTCTTCATAAGAGAAACAAAGTGGGACCAGTTCTTTTTTTCAAAAAGAATGTAGAAAAAACATAACCCATAATTGCCATATCACTAAATAAACTAATGGCTTTAGAACTAACATTTTAAAAAGGTATCCCAGCCCTCATCTGTACCTGGCTGCAATGTTTTACTTTTTCATGTACAAAATAAGGGCAAATTACAGATAGCACAGTACAGTATTAACAATAATGTTTCCAAACAGGGAAAGCTAATGTATTAAACAAAAAAGCACCTCATGTTCATTTAAATTTAACTAAAATGAAATCCTAACATTTTGTACAAAGAAGCTTAAATACATAATTTCACTTTACCTCCCCCCCCGCAAAAAAAGAAAAGTCATGCAACTTGGTAAAATTGCCTTGCTTCATGATTAAAAAAGTCTTAAGTCACTGATTATTCATTTTTAATAGTTTGAACAGAAAATTGCTGATGAATAAATAACTGGATAAATAATTCCAAAGAACCCCTTTGTGTCATGAAAATTGATTATTAAATTTGTTCTTGTGTTAGATTAACATAAATTTGATTAAATGATTTCAATTGGGGAGGTTATGACTAATTGCTAATGTTTAACAGTAATGAATTCATCAGGACACAAATCATCACTTCTTGCTCTTAATCACTATCTGTTACAATAACTGAGCATTCAA